ACGGAGAAAAGAAAATAAATAAAAAATGAAGGAATTATAAATAACAAATAAAGAACGAATAAATGGCGAAAGAGAAAGAAAATGAATAAAAGAATGAAGAAATTATGAAGGAATAAATGACAGAACGAATAAATGACGGAGAAAGAAAAATAAAAAAAAAAATGAAGGAATTATAAAGAACAAATAAAGAAATGAATAAATGGCGAAAAGAAAAGAAAATGAATAAAAGAATGAAGAAATTATGAAGAAAAGAATAAATGACGGAGAAAAGAAAAATAAAAAAAAAAATGAAGGAATTATAAAAAAACAAATAAAGAACGAATAAATGGCGAAAGAGAAAGAAAATGAATAAAAGAATGAAGAAATTATGAAGAATGAATAAATGACGGAGAAAGAAAAATAAATAAAAATGAAGGAATTATAAAAGAACAAATAAAGAACGAATAAATGGCGAAAGAGAAAGAAAATGAATAAAAGAATGAAGAAATTATAAAGAAAATGAATAAATGACGGAGAAAGAAAATAAATAAAAAATGAAGGAAATTATAAAGAACAAAAATAAAGAACGAATAAAATGGCGAAAGAAAGAAAAGAAAATTAATAAAAGAATGAAGAAATTATGAAGAATGAATAAATGACGGAAAAGAAAAAAAAATAAAAATTGAAGGAAATTATAAAAGAATGAAAATAAAGAACGAATAAATGGCGAAAAGAGAAAAAAAAAATGAATAAAAGAATGAAGAAATTAAATGAAGAACGAATAAATGACGGATAAAGAAAATAAATAAAAAAAAAATGAAGGAATTATAAAGAACAAAAATAAAGAACGAATAAATGGCGAAAGAGAAAGAAAATGAATAAAAGAATGAAGAAATTATGAAGAATGAATAAATGACGGAAAAAGAAAAAAGAAATAAAAATGAAGGAATTATAAATAAATAAATAAAGAACGAATAAATGGCGAAAAAGAGAAAGAAAAGAAAAGAAATAAAAATGAAGAAATTATGAAGAACGAATAAATGACGGAGAAAGAAAAAGAATAAATAAAAATGAAGGAATTATAAATAAAATAACAAAAAAAGAACGAATAAATGGCGAAAGAGAAAGAAAATGAATAAAAGAATGAAGAAAAATGAAGAATGAATAAATGACGGAGAAAGAAAATAAATAAAAAAATGAAGGAATTATAAAAACAAATAAAGAAAAAGAATAAATGGCGAAAGAGAAAAAAAAAATGAATAAAAGAATGAAGAAATTATGAAGAATGAATAAAAATGACGGAATAAAGAAAATAAATAAAATTGAAGGAATTATAAATAATAAATAAAGAACGAATAAAATGGCGAAAGAGAAAGAAAATGAATAAAAAGAATGAAGAAAGAATGATGAAAGAATGAATAAATGACGGAAAAGAAAATAAATAAAAAAATGAAGGAATTATAAATAACAAATAAAATGAAAGAACGAATAAATGGCGAAAGAGAAAAAAATGAATAAAAAAAATGAAGAAATTATGAAGAACGAATAAATGACGGATAAAGAAAATAAATAAAAAATGAAAGAAATTATAAATAAAAGAAAAATAAATAAAAAATGAACGAATAAATGGCGAAAGAGAAAGAAAATGAATAAAAGAATGAAGAAATTATGAAGAACGAATAAATGACGGATAAAGAAAAATAAATAAAAAAAAGAAGGAATTATAAATAACAAATAAAGAACGAATAAATGGCGAAAGAGAAAGAAAATGAATAAAAGAATGAAGAAATTATGAAGAACGAATAAATGACGGATAAAGAAAATAAATAAAAAATGAAGGAATTATAAAGAACAAATAAAGAACGAATAAATGGCGAAAGAGAAAGAAAAATGAATAAAAGAAAAGAAATGAAGAACAATTATGAAGAATGAATAAATGAAGAATTATAAATAACAAATAAAGGATAAAAGAAAATAAAAAAAAAAAAAGAATGAAGGAAAGAATGAATTATAAAAGAAAAATAAATAAAAAAATAGAACGAATAAATGGCGAAAGAGAAAGAAAATGAATAAAAGAATGAAGAAATTATGAAGAATGAATAAATGACGGAGAAAGAAAAAATAAATAAAAAAATGAAGGAATTATAAAGAACAAATAAAAAAACGAATAAATGGCGAAAGAGAAAGAAAATGAATAAAAGAATGAAGAAATTATGATGAATGAATAAATGACGGATAAAAAAAAAAAAAAAAAATAAAGGAATTATAAAGAACAAATAAAGAACGAATAAATGGCGAAAGAGAAAGAAAATGAATAAAAGAATGAAGAAATTATGAAGAACGAATAAATGACGGAGAAAGAAAATAAATAAAAAATGAAGGAATTATAAATAACAAATAAAGAACGAATAAATGGCGAAAGAGAAAGAAAATGAATAAAAGAATGAAGAAATTATGAAGAACGAATAAATGACGGATAAAGAAAATAAATAAAAATGAAGGAATTATAAATAACAAATAAAGAACGAATAAATGGCGAAAAAGAGAAAATAAAAGGAATAAAAGAATGAAGAAATTATGAAGAATGAATAAATGACGGAGAAAAGAAATAAATAAAAAATGAAGGAATTATAAAGAACAAATAAAGAACGAATAAATGGCGAAAGAGAAAGAAAATGAATAAAAGAATGAAGAAATTATGAAGAACGAATAAATGACGGATAAAGAAAATAAATAAAAAATGAAGGAATTATAAAGAACAAATAAAGAACGAATAAATGGCGAAAGAGAAAGAAAATGAATAAAAGAATGAAGAAATTATGAAGAACGAATAAATGACGGAGAAAAAAAATAAATAAAAATGAAGGAATTATAAAAACAAATAAAAGAACGAATAAATGGCGAAAGAGAAAGAAAATGAATAAAAGAATGAAGAAATTATGAAGAATGAATAAATGACGGAAAAGAAAATAAATAAAAAATGAAGGAATTATAAAGAACAAATAAAGAACGAATAAATGGCGAAAGAGAAAAGAAAATGAATAAAAAAGAATGAAGAAATTATGAAGAACGAATAAATGACGGAGAAAGAAAATAAATAAAAAATAAAGGAATTATAAAGAACAAATAAAGAACGAATAAATATGGCGAAAGAGAAAAGAAATGAATAAAAGAATGAAGAAATTATTAAGAATGAATAAATGACGGATAAAGAAAATAAATAAAAAATGAAGGAATTATAAAGAACAAATAAAGAACGAATAAATGGCGAAAGAGAAAGAAAATGAATAAAAGAATGAAGAAATTATGAAGAACGAATAAATGACGGATAAAGAAAATAAATAAAAAATGAAGGAATTATAAAGAACAAATAAAAAGAACGAATAAATGGCGAAAGAGAAAAGAAAATGAATAAAAAGAATGAAGAAATTATGAAGAACGAATAAATGACGGATAAAAGAAAAATAAATAAAAAAAATGAAGGAATTATAAAAAAACAAATAAAAAAAAATAAAAATAAATGGCGAAAGAAGAAAGAAAATGAATAAAAAAGAATGAAGAAATTATGAAGAACGAATAAATGACGGATAAAGAAAATAAATAAAAAAATGAAGGAATTATAAAGAACAAATAAAAAAGACCGAATAAATGGCGAAAGAGAAAGAAAATGAATAAAAAGAATGAAGAAGTTATGAAGAACGAATAAATGACGGAGAAAGAAAAAATAAATAAAAATGAAGGAATTATAAAGAACAAATAAAGAACGAATAAATGGCGAAAGAGAAAGAAAATGAATAAAAGAATGAAGAAATTATGAAGAATGAATAAATGACGGATAAAGAAAATAAATAAAAAATGAAGGAATTATAAAGAACAAATAAAGAACGAATAAATGGCGAAAGAGAAAGAAAATGAATAAAAGAATGAAGAAGTTATGAAGAACGAATAAATGACGGAGAAAGAAAATAAATAAAAAATAAAGGAATTATAAAGAACAAATAAAGAACGAATAAATGGCGAAAGAGAAAGAAAATGAATAAAAGAATGAAGAAATTATGAAGAACGAATAAATGACGGATAAAGAAAATAAATAAAAAATGAAGGAATTATAAAGAACAAATAAAGACCGAATAAATGGCGAAAGAGAAAGAAAATGAATAAAAGAATGAAGAAGTTATGAAGAACGAATAAATGACGGAGAAAGAAAATAAATAAAAAATGAAGGAATTATAAAGAACAAATAAAGAACGAATAAATGGCGAAAGAGAAAGAAAATGAATAAAAGAATGAAGAAATTATGAAGAATGAATAAATGACGGAGAAAGAAAATAAATAAAAAATGAAGGAATTATAAAGAACAAATAAAGAACGAATAAATGGCGAAAGAGAAAGAAAAGGAATAAAAGAATGAAGAAATTATGAAGAACGAATAAATGACGGAGAAAGAAAATAAATAAAAAATGAAGGAATTATAAAGAACAAATAAAGAACGAATAAATGGCGAAAGAGAAAGAAAATGAATAAAAGAATGAAGAAATTATGAAGAACGAATAAATGACGGAGAAAGAAAATAAATAAAAAATGAAGGAATTATAAAGAACAAATAAAGACCGAATAAATGGCGAAAGAGAAAGAAAATGAATAAAAGAATGAAGAAGTTATGAAGAACGTATAAATGACGGATAAAGAAAATAAAAAAAAATGAAGGAATTATAAATAACAAATAAAGAACGAATAAATGGCGAAAGAGAAAGAAAATGAATAAAAGAATGAAGAAATTATGAAGAACGAATAAATGACGGAGAAAGAAAAATAAATAAAAATGAAGGAATTATAAAGAACAAATAAGGAAACGAATAAATGGCGAAAGAGAAAGAAAATGAATAAAAGAATGAAGAAGTTATGAAGAACGAATAAATGACGGATAAAGAAAATAAATAAAAAATGAAGGAATTATAAATAACAAATAAAGAACGAATAAATGCCGATAGAGAAAGAAAATGAATAAAAGAATGAAGAAGTTATGAAGAACGAATAAATGACGGATAAAGAAAATAAATAAAAAATGAAGGAATTATAAATAACAAATAAAGAACGAATAAATGGCGAAAGAGAAAGAAAATGAATAAAAGAATGAAGAAATTATGAAGAACGAATAAATGACGGAGAAAGGAAATGAAGAAAAGAATGAAGAAATTATGAAAAATGAATAAAAGAACGAATAAATGGCGAAAGAAAAAGAAAATGAATAAAAGAATGAAGAAATGATTTAAGAAAAAAATCTACGAAAAATAAAGAAGGAAAACGGGAATGTTACAAAGAATGTAAACGAAAGCAGAGAATAAAGAACGAAATAGAAATATAAATGAAAAATAAAGAAAAAGGACAAAGCAATAATAATTGAGGAAAGAAAGAAGGGTTAAAGAAGAATGAAAAGAACGATAAATAACGAGGAAGAGAATGTAGAGAAAGAAAATAAAAAAAGAAGAAACTAAAGAATGCAAAAGAAAAAAAAAGAAACATCAATATGCAAGAATGATACATTAGAAAAGAGAAAAACAAAGAAAATAGAAGAAGGAAAGTTGTAAAGAAAAAGAAAAGACGTGAACGAGAGAGGAAGAAGTATAGAAAATGGCGAAATGGGTAAATACAAGTGAAGGAATGAATGGAAGCAACAAGCAGACGATGAATCGATACAAAAGGCAAGAGGGAATTGAGAGGGACAGGAGGTGGAGGAAAAGACAAAAGGAAGGAAGAAACGAAAGAAAGAAAAGGAAATCTATGCATTGCAAAATTGAAAAAGAAAAATTTCAACCATTCAAAACAGGAAACGAAATTGGCCACAAATAGGAGAGGAAAAAGAAATTGGATTGAAAGGAATGCAATACAAACGGACAAACGTTGGTCAGCTTCCAACGTGAAGCGAGAAATGAGACTTTACAATCATGGGAGTTGGCAGAGGTGGCGCTCTCTTGGCAATGGACGATTCAACAAGGAGAAAAGAAATACACCATCACCAATACCACCACCATCACCCTCTTTCACATACTCCTCCTTTTCCCCCTCTTTCTGCTACCACAATTTCCCCATTATACGACTACCATTTCCTGTTATTACTACGACAATTTTCACCTCATTGCCGCAACTACTAATATCAAAACTTCTACATATTATTCCTCCTCTTCCTATAAATATTTTTGAATTTGTTACTACTACTACTACTTATCCATTATAGTTGTCTCGGCATAGAGTAATGGTTAACGAGCCGAGTCTCGGTAACGATGTCTACAGCGTAGTGAGGTCAATCTTCTCAGGGTGCCTTATATAAAAATTGACATTAAATAGTCCAACATGGGTTGACATATCGTAAATCAATCAAGGATCAAATGGCGTTGGGTAATGTTTAGCGAGCCTAGTCTGGCTGACCAATTACTACAGCTGAGTGAAGTCAATCCGCATTGGGTGTCTTTATTAAAAACTGATATTAAATAGTCCAGTATAGTTTGATATATCCTACAAACAATCGACCAGCAATTGGTTTGTGGTAATGTTTAGTGGGACTAGTACTCTCTGGGTGCTTTATATAAAATTTATCTTTAAATAATCCAAAATGGGATGATATTGTTGCATATCCCCATGGTGTGGGTGTTCCTGGGGCAACAGTTTCGATTCGATAATAATAACGTTGCTTTCTCTCTCTCGGCAGGTGATCGCTAGTTGTTTTTGTTCGTTTTGCTGTTCGTTTACTGTTTTTTTAATTTTCTTCCCCATTTTTTTTCATCGTTACTTTCTATTTTGTTCTGCTATTTAAATGTGTGCGTGTGGGTGCAGTCGAACATAGTAGTATCATCGTACTTACAGTTAGTTTTTTCTACCCTTATGTCTAGATTAAATAATGTATATGTTACATATGCTCATGGTGGGTGTGACTTTGGGGCGACGGCTTCGATTCGATAATAATAGCATTAGCTTCTCTGTCTCGGTCCGCGATCGCTAGTTGTTTTTGTTTCGGAGATAACAGAACTTCAGTAAAGGAAATTTTAAACGTAACTTGTTTTTAAACACGTTGACGTGTACATTTCTAACTATCGACTGGAGTCATTCTCACCCTCCAGTGGAAAGCAGATCCAGACACACAATCAACACGTCTACATTCTTCGACGGTTAAGACTCAACTCTTCAAAAAACTTTTCTCTATCTATCATTCCCACGCTAGTTCAGCTAATCAAAATCGACTTCCTTTATTTTGTTTTCTATCTGACCTCTAAGGTCAAACCGAGGAAGTCAGGACAGAAATACGTTTCTCTAAAAAAAATAATAGTCTGCTTAAATATTTTTTTAACAATACGTCGTAAGATTATTCAAATAGGATGCTGCAGAGTTTTCTTCCAGAAGACTGAGTAAAATATTTTATATTCTATCAGGGCTCGGAATGAAGATTGAGTAGTGCTAGTATCGATATGGGAGTACTTTTTTTTATTTTTCGGGATATGATCTTTGTATAGACGACGCCTGACGGAAGCAGTCAAGAACTTTCTGAAATGATAGGATGAGTCGACTGTATTCTGCCCGTTCTATTGTGGACTTTAGCACTTAGACCGTCAAAAATTTAGCCTAGTTTAAAGTGCAACCATTTATCATGACTTGGTAAAATTTGGGGTCTGGACTGTCATGAGGAAATGATACACGTTCGGATTTTGTGTTATTTAAAGTTAAAATCTATTTCCCCCACTTCGACCAAACTGCCAGAGTTTGGTTTGGTTTGGTTTGTTTATCGGCATATCAACTCCTTATGGGTTATGTAGTGCAGAAAATTAATTTCCTTGGAAATTTTGGTAATTTTCTTTTATTTTCACTATTAAAATCTATTGCTGGAATTCATGATCGACGAAGTGGTATTTGCGCGTAAGTGAATGTAACGAACCTGAATGGAATTCGAACTCGGTTCTCCGATTTTTCATTCTGACCAATTTCCATTACACCACCCGTACATCGTACATCCAAGCATACATTACCTAATATTTCCAAGCGGTCACCCATCTAGGCATTGACCTGCATCGACGTTGCTTAACGCTATTTCAACCTGATATGGCCGTAAGCCGTTATTGAATAAGGTGTGATATATGTGCAGTCACTTGGGAACCGACGTCGTGTTTGTTTTTTTAACGGCATATCAACTACTTATGGGTCATTTAATGCTGAAATTTAATGTCCAAGGAAGTCATGGTAATTTATTTATTTTTTTTATTTTTTGGGGTATTAAATCTATTGCTGGATTTTTTTTTACTGCACAAATGTATTTTTATACTTTCGTAGTGTTTTGAACCCAGTTTGGTGGTTCTCTGTTTGCTCATAGCTGGGAATCTAACAAATTCTACCACCCCGGTACAGGGTGGACCTGGGAACTACAACAATTAAGTATTGGTTCCACACTCCTCAAAACTTTCCGACCAGAGGCCTTACTACCGGATGTAGTTTACCCAGGACGAAGCTGTTAGAAGAGAAACCAGCTGCAAGTATACGAGGCTTGTTTTATTAATCATTTCAACCCAAGCAAGCTAAAAAAAACAAAGGCTTACTGAGTATAAGGTAATATGATAAAAACATTATTAAGATGAGACAATAACAGGAGAGAAATCAAGAAGACAAGATAATGGTTGACACGGAATTTACATTTTTGAAGATCAAAGTTAAGTGGAAAACAAGAAGACAGAGGAGAGTTCCACGAACCGGAAGTGCGAGAGAAGAAACTTAGAATTATGGTTATATCTAGCCATTTCCACTGTAAGATGATGAGACCTAACTGTCAATCTAGTACTGCATTTAAATTACTAATGTCCAAATTTCATCTGAAAAATTACCATGGAAATATTTCTTAAAAAAGCACAGGAAAGCTATATTACGGTGTACAGAAAGTGACTGAAGCCGAGATGCCAGGTCAGTACCAATAAAAATACAGATTCATCTTTGTAATTTATCAAAGACTTTTAAATACATTGAAGAAGCACCAGACCAGATGTAGCAGCAATATTCAATGCATAAACGAATGTTAGGAGAAATTGTCTTGCGTGACACAGTTAAGTAACTTTCCAAGCAACAGAACTAGCAGATCATTCAATAATATTTTCAATTCATGTCAGAAATAAATTTATATTGTAAGAAATTTTTAATGACTTACTGATACAATTTCTACTAATTAACCCATAGTTGGGGAGAGAAGAGGTGAATTCATGCAAATCCTGCTCCTCGATCGCCAATTCCGATCCGTTATCCATTAGACCACCCGCACATCTAAGCTTACGGCACCTGGTATTCCCATGTAGGTACTGACCAGGATCGACTTTGCTTAACTTCGGTGATCTCCTCAAATTGAAACTCGGCTCTCCGATTAAGAATTCCTCGCCATTATCCATTACACCACTCGCACATCCAAACTTACAGCACCTGGTATTCCCAAGCGGTCACCCATCTAAGTACTGACCAGGCGCGATGTTGCTTAACTTAGGTGATCTCTTCAAATTGAAACTCGGCTCTCCGATTAAGAATTCCTCGCCATTATCCATTACACCACTCGCACATCCAAGCTTACAGAACCTGCTATTTCCAAGCGGTCACCCATCTAGGTACTGGCCAGGATCGACTTTGCTTAACTTAGGTGATCTCTCCGATTAACAATTCCTTTCTATTATCCATTACACCACCCGCACACCCAAGATTACAGCACCTGGTATTTCCAAGCCGTCACCCATCTAAGTACTGACCAGGTTCGACGTTGCCTAACTTACTTCGGTAATCTCTTCAAACTGGAACTCGGCTCTTCGATTAATAAAATCCTCGCCATTATTCATTACACCACCCACACATCCAAGCTTACAGCACCTGGTATTTCCAAGCGGTGACCCATCTAGGTACTGGCCAGGATCGACTTTGCTTAACTTAGGTGATCTCTTCAAATTGGAACTCGGCTCTCCGATTAACAAATTCTTGCCATTATCCATTACATCACACGTACATCCAGGGTTTCATCACCTGGTATTCCCAAGCGGTCACCCATCTAGTTACTGGCCAAGATCGACTTTGCTTAAATTCAGTGCTGAGACTTGGTAAGAGATAATTTTTAGAATCAGCTCCAGAAAAGGCAGACAAGGTAGCAGGTTGTTTCAGCATTAGTATTGCCCTCATACCCTTATTGGCCTTGTGTCAGTCTAAGCACACCTGAATAAATATGTTGTTAATGTTGTTGCTATTCCGCATCTTGGCAAATCCCGCACCAGACGTATATCCTCACAACTTCTGAAAGAAAGAGAAATATTCGTTTGTTTTTTTTTTGTTGTTTCTCTTCTTTTAAACTAGTTACCTTCGAGGTCGAAATACGTTGAATGGCTTCACTTTTTATTCAATTCATCCCTTTAATCTCTTAACACGTATCAACACAGACACGGTCGTCTCATACCAGTGAGTTGGCGCGGGGATTGAGACTCAGTGGATGTTATATTTCAGTATCGACTGTCTGGACCCTGAAGAAGTTTAATGAGTTTCAAAAGAATTCAGTTGAACTTTTGTATATTTTAATGACGTAGACGCAAATCAGTTAAGATGCCTCTCGGATAAGAACAACACTAACTTATTCTCTCAGAATAACAGAGAAGCTGTTGGAAATTCTAGAAAACGTACTGTCATTCAATCCTCAGTTACAATTAGGTGCAATCTACAGATATTATGCACATTGATTAGTGCAGTAAAACTGGAAAAAGTGAACAATTCTTGAATTAGAAAACT